GGCCGAGCCACAACGAGTTTCTCTAGTTCGATTCTTGTACAGTCCCCAATCCCAGTGGGTGGAATTTTGTCTTGGTTCCATTTCTGTATCTCTCACAATACGGCGAATATCACAGTAGTATAACTCGTCAAATAAAATAACAAAAAGAGTAGCAATAATATAGATAGTCTCAGTTGATAAACATTTCAGAGTGGATATGAAACCCTAAAAGATCCATCTGTACGTATCTTCGCTTGGTGGAGTCAGCATCGTGGCGTCCGTTTCCAAGTCAAGGGTGGCTAACAAGGGAGGTCCGCCAAATGTTCGAGGCAAATCGAATTCGGATTAGCATCATTGATGGAGATCCTCTAGCGAGTCACGAAAATCGAAGCGCGATTTGGTCAAGTGGATTTTAGAAGGACAAGCTCAAGTTAGGTGTTAATTGAGGTCGTCTTTGTAAAGATTTATTGGGAGAAACCAGTGTTCGTTACGCAATGCGTATGTTCACTTGTTGGTTTCATGTTCAATTTTAAATATTACTAAAAAATTATGTTACAGATAAATTGTGGGCTATGCCAGTTCGTAGATCAAATCCTGGGCCGTATTCGTACAGGCAAAAGAAGCCTACAATCTCCCCGTAATCGGTTCAACTGGTACAAGACTTGTCAAGGGGAATGAAATCACTGACTTTTACACAGCAAGTTTTGTATGGACCAAATCGATAACAGAAATGCCATAACAATTTCAAATAGACGCACAATGCATGGCGCACATCTCAAAGGAACTGACCAACGGCCGGTTATGGATTGGGTCTATTTTTCTTATACACCAAGTAACAAAGAACAAATAAATGACAGGGGTATGACAAGCCACAGAAAAGAAAATTTAGTGGGTTGCATCAGCAAGAGGAAGACCGCACCCGGTTCTGGAGCTCTCAGCGTCCAAAAAACTGGAAATTTATTTATTTTTTTTTAATGTTACGCTCAGCTAAAGAATACGACGTGGGAGCGCCAAAACCACTGTGAGGATGAGTGGGAAAATCATGCAACAGTAAGCAGAAGGCGTGGAAAATACACGTAAAATGTAAGGAGAAAAAGTCTTGAAAGGAAATCTGCAATAGTCGAAAGCTCTACAGTTGCTTCCTTCATATTAGCACAATGAATGAAAATGAAGCAGTTAGACTCAATGTATCGAAGTAAGTTGAAAAATGTGAGGCTGCAGTAGAGCAGGAAGAGGAGAAAACCTCTTGAACCTTCAATATGCGTTCAAGCATAGCGTTCGTATCCGCCGGTTCAGAGACGGTGCGAGAAGGGACAGAGGTGCGAGTTGTGGGGGGCTGGCCCCCCTGTAGGGATACGTTAAAGGAGATTGTCAACGTATGCGGCGGACCTAGCACATTTAATTTCCGTTGGTGCTGCTCAGGACTAAGCCTTATAAAGGAGGGAGGACTCCGGTTCCGTGAACAATGCTTTCAGTTTTATGCGGGAGGGGCCCTCCATTCCTCCTTAGGCCTTCCAGTTTCTAAAGCTGCTTCACTAAGACGGATATTTTATAATTTCATAGTCGATTTATATGTTCATGATATTATTTATAATGTATTTACATTATATATTTCTCTTTAAGCCATAATATTTCATGAACCGTTCATGTCATGCGGGCTAGGGACAGGGGGAATCACTTCAAAAAACGAGGACATAACGTGGACAAAAAGACAAGGACGGGATTCCGTATTTTGGTGAAGAGCTCCTTTGAGCCAGCCGTTGGACCGTTCCAAGCGCCCCTCTCCCCCCGCCCCTACTGGAAAAGGCTCAGCCGCAAGTGACACTTCGCTTAGACCAGATGAACGCCTAGTTTCTGTTGAAAGCTTTCAAATGTCGTGTTTGTGTTAGTAGCTGATGTGAGTGTGAATGTCAGAGTGGGACCGAGGAGCAAATAAATATTTAATGGAATATTAAGATAGACCTACACATAGGAAGGATTGACGTCACTGAAGATACTGAACAGAAATCTAATGTGTGGCCCACTTTGTCTCAATAAATCTTGTTAAAACAAGCCAAAATTCTTCAACTTCTAGTATGGTCCCACAATTGGAAACATTTTTTTGGTTTTCATTTTTTTATAAATCATTTTCTTTATTTTCTTTTTTTTATAAATTATCAAAAAACCACTCATATAGTTCTCAGAAAAACGGACTAGTGAAAAGGAGTGGGTTCTCGTAGGCAAGAGAACAAGAAAGCCAGCCAACCAACTCTCCAGCGTGAGAGAACAGCATTCCTTAATTAGAACAAGCTATGTGTAGCAAGCAATCAGCTCAGCTAATCAACAATATTCTCCCAGCGTAATGACGATGTATGAGGGTTCTATGTCATATTTTATGTCCATTTTTGACTTCACCTATGGTACGAGGAGGTATTTTTATTGACACTTTCTCTACCAGTTGATCAAAATAAGGAAAAATGGAAGAGAAAGGTGAGCAAAACCGGCCAATCGAAATCTTCAGAAATGAAGTTGTGATCGGAGTGTGAGTAGGTTCTCCAGAAAAAAAAGAAATAAACGAGAAGAAATGGAATGAACAGAGTGAAAAGCTGTAGCTTCGCCGCTGTCTTTCGTCCCACAATCTCACATGTGTGGGCCCAAAAATTCCCCTTGCCATCAGGAAATTGAATGGGTCCTAGACCTGTTCAAAGGCACTGGTCCGATATGACTTGGTGTATTATTTTGCTTGAAAATTAAGAAGAAGTGCGTCGAGGAACGTCAGTGGAAAGAAAAGCAAAAAGCCATAGGAAACACTGAACTCTCCCTCGTCGACCGTGTTACGAGCAGCACAAAGAGTGGACGAAAACGCGAGAGAGCACCATCCACACAAGACGGCGCAGACGTATGCTGCCATTGATAGGAATGGCAGCGGTCGCAGCAGTCGAGGGAAGACATTCGCTCCATTGTCGTGGACAATCAAATCGCAACAATACTCCAGCACTATGATTGGTACTGTGTGGTCCTACTACCTCGCTCGGAGAGAGAATTTCTCTGACCTGAACGCGAGCCGTGCCTTCGATTGTAAAACGGATCAACAAAGGAGAAAAAAAAACAAAAAGGAGCTTAAAACGGTTTTCAATTTGTCGTCATTTTGTGGACTAATTTCCAACACTGTGAGAGGTTACGGTGACGAAACAGTAGGCCTATGGGACAGGAGGACGAAGCTCGTGGACAAAGACGAGGAAGATGCGAAAAAGAACAGAGTGGAACGCACCAATTCGGCACCTGCCAACGCACAGTAGCCGTCGAAAGTATTTCGCTTTTCGCACATCGTTTTTTCAAATGTAAATAAAGTTCAAGTTGAATTCTGTTCTGTAATTTCCTCAGTACTAATCAGATGAGTTTCAAATAAATAAAGGTCATGGGACATCAACATTCGGAGCGCTGGCGAGAAGAGAAAATAACGCCCAAAAATCATTGTGGCCGATGCCATGGACCACATCAATTTCAGAGTTGATTTGGCCTTGATGGGCGTTTCCGAATTCACTACACCAGGACCCTTGCTTACCTTCAACTGAATCGGCACAAGTTCTTCGGGTACGAAGGAAGTCTACCACGAAGAAGTCAGGGTGGGCCAAAATTATGAGGACCAAGACATTGTGTCGTTAAAAACGCATAGTAGCTTGATGGAACAAACAAACTTCAGGGAAGTGTTTGTAACTCTTATCTCAAAGTAATTCCAGAAGAATTGAGATCTGCCACCTGCCGCGTTTACACGAGCCTTCAGATGAAGGGGGATGGCACGCAACTGAGGCGTGTCAAAATGTTTCCAGGCCTTCTGCTCTGCCTTCTTCAGGGAATCAAACTTTGTGGGCATTTATTTGCGCTTGCATCCAGGGTGTAAAATACATCTAAAAATATTAGGTAGAAGGTTCCATTTAAAGGCAAAGGTCGGGCTCAGGCACGCTAGAGAAGTAATTCCCGTGCCTGGAGGTTGTATGTGGGTAGCTGCACACATTGCAGCAACTTCCCACCTTGAAAAACCCGTTAAGGCCCCGGGGCGTTCGGTTTCAATCCAGGGCCGCCTGGTCAATCCGGGACCGCCCACCTCCGGAAGTGGTGCGTGGCTGGCATAACGTGTGAAATCAGCTAGGTTGATTGCCGTATCAACCGACAGCACGACTGACATCTCCAGAAAACTTGTTTGTACGTGCCTCTTCCCCCAAACCAGCCTCCTTCACTGATA